TTGTCTTGCCCATTTCTACTGAAAGTTCACCGATCAAGGATGAGTGGGCTCCAGCGTAAAAGCAACAGAAGCCCTAAGTCTTTAGAGCTCTGCGGAACGGGAGGCTCTGGAGAAATTGATTCTGAATGCCTGAGGCTTACAGAGGAAGCCCTGCATGCCTTAGCCCTTGCTTAAAATCTTCCAAACACACACTGTTCCGTATTTGTTGACTTCCTGAACCTGAAGTAGTCTTCGATGACTAAGGATATTGTGAGTTTATTTTCCAAAGGTACTCCTTGGAAGAATGGCAGTCATTGCATGAGGTACTGAAACAGCGAGTGAGAGGGATGGGGCTGAAGTATGTCAGTGCGTAGCAGGGCCCATGAAAACTGTGTTTCTTAAAATAAATCTAGGCATTTTCTTGTGACTCACTTCTTCACAAAGTCGAGAGCTGGGGAGAGGAAACTCCAGATAATCAATGATTCTTGTTTGATGGGTCCTGATTAACGGGCTTGCACTCTGGAGTGATTTATTTTCTCTATTCCTTCCTCTTTTCAGTCAATAAAGAGACATGAGATCCTGGTTTGAGGATTCACTGAGGGCTCACGTTAAGTCTCCAATGCAATCAGTTTCCCAAGGGTTTGCCCTTTTTCTCTCCATTCAGCTCAATGCCAGCAACCACTTACTGACCACCTGCTGTGCCCCCGCCTTGAGAGACACTGTCTGGGCCCAGAGATGGACGAGACACCATCTCTGCCACAATCTGGGGGTGGAGTGAGGACGTGGTGCCAGCAAACAGGTTCTCTGCTTCGTATGCAGCTCGGGATGCAATGAGGAAATCAAGGGTGACTTCCTGGAGGAACCAGTGTAGGAATGGAGTTTTTTGGGGTGGCCCCAGGTGGAGGCACTCAGGTGGGTGGGGTGGCAGGAGTTCAGAGATGGGGAAGTGTGAGGTCCAATTTTCCTGAGGGTAATTGTAATTATTACTGAGCCCTTGCTATGTGTAGGCATATTATGTCATTCAGTCCCTATGACACAGACTGGCCACTTTCTTCTGTAAAGAGCTGGACAGTAAATATTTGAGGCTGTGTGGGCTAGAAGCCTCTATCACAACTACTCAGCTGTGCCATTGTGGTCTGAAAGCAGCTACAGATGACAAATGGGTGTGACTGGGCTCCCACAGAACTTTGTTTACAGAAACAGGTGGTCCCTTGGGTTTGGCCCGGGTCACAGTTGGCCAGTCCCTCCCTGCCTTATCATATACTTGGTATAATCCCCATTTTATGGAGGATAAAACTGAGGTACAGAGAGGTGAAAAGGAATTCACATGCCAAGGGCCACCTTGACTTGGTCAGTTCCCAAGCCCAAGCTTTTCACTTACCCACGCACTGCCTCCCCTGCGAGGTCGACGCTGGCTGGGGAAGAGTGGATGGATAAGACTGCCTTGAACTGCGGTATGAAAAGTCTGCCTTTCATTCAGTGGGGAGCCATTGATGATTCTGTGAGCAGGTGATAGGACTAGAGCTGTGCTCTTGGAAGATTAAGTTGGTTGTGGTATGTAGGTAGATTCGAGTTGGGAGAAGAAGAGCTCTGTCTTAAACAGCGTGGAGTAGAGAGGTTCACTTCTTTGGCAGAGCCATTTCTGACCACTATAGAACTTTCCGAGTTCTCCCTGGTATGCCAGATACCTGTGTGGCCTCCCCAGGGCTTCGCACTGTGTGCTGGTGGGTGATGGGGAGAGGGTTGCCCCTGTACTTGTTGACAGAAGCTTGCTTAACCTTGGCTTCCTGCCGGACTGTGTAGACACAGAGAGGGCTGGCTTTAGGGAGGATACGTCTATTTTAAAATACCCTTAATCACCTAGGAAGGGAATGAACAGAGGTGCCTGTATCCCCTCCCACTCAGCGGTGTCCTTGTCCGTGGCCTGTTCTCACCTCAGCTGATGGTTGTGGGGCAGGTGGCTTGAAGCTTTGGGATGTTCTCGTGGTCCCTCAGACCCTCAGGTGGTAGGATCCCTCCAGGGCTTGAGACATCACTGCGGTGTATCTCCTGTTGAGGGAAGATACCAGCCTGGTATCACTCTGTACCAGCCTGGCCAGTTTCTGGCCTGCTTTTCTTTCACAGTCTACTGTGGTTTGTGATTCCAGATGGGGGTGCTCCAGACTCTCGAAATTGTACCTTGTGAAAGAGAAGGGGAGTGAGTCTTCAAGTCATTTGCGTCCTGGAGGTTCAGGGTAGAGGCTGTGGCTGGTTTTGTTCTGGCCCATTTTATAATGCTGGTAGTCAAATTTCTAATATCCTTTTTATTTACTGAACACTTAGCATGTGTCACATTCTGTGTCCTTTATGTGTATGAACTCGTTTCACCTTCATAATGGCCCAATGATGTTGGTATTATTATCCCCTCTTGTAAATGAGGACACCCAGGCCAAAGGACACAGACGTAATAGGCAGTGTGGCAGCTAAGATTTAGAGCAGTCTGCTGACTCCAGTGCCCTCCTCTTGACCACCTGCTCTCTCTGCTTCCTGAGCCCCACGTGGGTCAGGTCAGGGGCTTCCAGGTGGTGCTTCACTGGGTCTTCGCAACCACCTTCTGAAGTAGACCTTACTGTGCCCATTTTACAGCTGGATAAACTGAAGCCCGGAAAAGGCAAGTGACTTGCCAGAGGGCATTCAGACAGCAATGGATAGGTTTGGGGGTTTTATTTATTTTTAAACAATTCTTTCAGTGAGAACATAACAGAGAATGAGCTGAGTCAGTAGGACGGTGTCATGGAGGGGGTGAGTGCATTGAGTAATTTATATTTGTATTCAGAGAAGCAGTGTTGGAGAGTGTCTAAGGGATTCTAGAGTTAGTCAGCCTGGGTTCATATCCTGGCACTGCCACTTCCCTGTGATCTTAGATAAGTTACTTTACCTCTCTACACTTTAGTTTTCTCCTCTGAAAAATAGACACAATGATAGCATCTACCACAGAGAATAAGGATAAAATGAGTTAATGCATGTAAAGTGTCTGGACCAGTGTCTGGCATGTATTAGGCTCTGTATGTGTTCGTTGTTATTAAGCTCCTACTCTGCATAAGGCACTTTTTTCCGAATATGTTACATCACTCAGTCCTCATAAGAACTGACAAGTACATGGTATTTATTCCATTTTACAGATAAGAAAACCTAGGCTCAGAGAGTCAAACAGTGCACCTGAGGTCATACACCCGTTCCTCCAGAGATACATGTTGAGAAATTGAACAAAACAGACCCAGATCCCCACCCTGGGGAGCCTCCGGGGCTGGGACTTGAACCCAGGTCTTTCTCTTTTCCTTTGAATGTCTTTCCCTTTTCCTTTGAATGTCTTTCCCTTTCTCTCTCTCCCCCTTAACAATTTCATCGAATGATCTCTCAGACTGGCCATTGTAATGACCAAGATGGCGCTCGACTTCCTTAGCCTTCTCAGTGCTTGTGAAATTGAAAATGATCTTGCTGAACTAGAGCTTCTATCTGACAATGTGGGAGTCATGAGGAAGGAAAGTGACATGGATTTAAGGATTAGATGCCATGGTCCGAGGTGTGAAATAGAACCGTATTGTGGTGTGGGTCTCTGCAGTGGAAGCTTCGCGTTGGGGGCTGGGGGGTGGATAGGCGTCGTCTGTTCCCAGCGCTTGAAGAAGCGGAAAGTGCACGTCTGCCTTGACCCCTCTTGGGATGAGGCCTTCACGGTCCCAGGCGGAGCAGTCAGAGGTGCCGCCTCCCTCGAAGGGCCTATTTTGCAAGTCCGGGCCCTGGCCCTCAGTCCCCATTCCGGGGGCCTTGAAGGGCAGCACCCCACTGTGTGAGATTCCTCTGAGCACAGTGTTGGGAAGAGTGAGAGCTGGGGCAAGGACAGGGCTTCCACCGCTCTGTGAGTCACGCGAGATCTCGGAGCAGGCCTGCTGGTGGAGATACAGTAATCACTTTCATCATTTGGGTGGAGACATCACACGGATTAGTATGTGAACTGCACCTGCAGACACGGCCCAGCTGAGGTGGGATACTTCTCTTTCTGAGCAGGCGCGGGTTTGTATCCCTCCTGGGGAAAAAAAAGGTGCTGATAAATAGGACCTGCATGTCCCCCGCAAACTCACAAGTCCACGCATGAAACTTAGCACTCAGAATTGACGAGGAGGTTTTCAGTTTTGTTTTTGGCTTGTGTCATTTAGGGAGAAAGTTTTTAGGCGAGAGTTTTCTTGTGTTTGTTGACTCTTTGGAAGCAAATACTTTGTGCCGACCATTCTGTGACTGGGAGGGGCAGGTCTCTCCATCCCCCAAGGGGGTCTGCTTTCCTGATCCCATGATGACCCAGCCTCTGCCTTTCAGGTGCTGTGCACACCAATGCTGTGTTTAAATATGTTGGAATTTGCTGGGGGGGTTTTGTTCCCAACTGTGAAAATGATGCCAGGCTTTTAAGTTAAACTGATTAAATCTGAGATGATTGTGAGGCCATTAATAACCCCGCTCACACAAGAGTAATTGAAGCGCTCTGTGTTTCGGTACTTGGCTCCTTTACAAGGGACCCAGGCTCCTGAGAACCCGGCTAACTCAATAGCCCTCCTTTCCCTGAAATGGCCTGTGAAAAGATGCCTGTTGGGTGGTAACCTCCCCGTACGTTTTCTCAATAAAGAGAAAAAGATGGGAAGGGGCAGGGTAGGGCAGTGGGGCGGGGGAGACCTCGCCTGCATTTAGAGCCGCAGCCTCTCAAAGCCGTCTGGCGCAGACTGTTTAGTTCCGTGTCCCCTGTCCCATTCAGGCCTCTGCATGTTTTGAAGCTTTCTTTAGCTTTCTCCTGAGCCTTGATGGCAGATCTCTCAATAGGTGAAAGCCTGGCTCTGGCCAGCTGAATACCCCATGGGCACAATGCACTGCATGTTAATGGCGCTGGCTGGCCCCAGACAGCTCGCCTGCGGGACAGTGGCTCCTATACCAGCCCAGCAGCTGCCTCAGATGGAATCTGACGGGGTTCCTAAAGTTGCCCGTTTGCTTTTTTGCAGATCTACACGGACTGGGCCAATCACTATCTAGCCAAATCAGGCCACAAACGTCTCATCAAGGATCTCCAGCAAGATGTGACGGACGGCGTCCTCCTGGCCCAGATTATCCAGGTTGTGGGTAAGAGCAGATTTTACGTCAGGGGTGGATGAGTTACCGTGGAGAACAGTCCAGACGGGGTCGAGTCTGGCAAGAGGGACTTGGAATCCCGACATCTAAAAATGCAGTGTTTCTGTCACATGTATGACACTTTTTTTGACTCTTGCCTTGTGCCGGGGGAGTGAGGGGTACCAGCTTGTTTTTCCTGATAAGATCACCCACGTGGCAATCTCATCTTGATTCTCTGAGAAGAAAGACTGGCTGGGGGGAAATGCTGGTGGTTTGGGGAGGGGCTCTCTGTCCCCTTTCTTACCTCCTACCATCTTTCTGGCTCTCTCATTTCCCCCCCGCGATGGTGCTTTTTTGTGGATTACTCTGGCAATATTTCCAAAAAAAAAAAAAAAAACGGCAATATGGGGCTGGCTTATTCCTGTGAACTCTAATCGGGTCTGAGAAATCAAAGGATCAAACTCCGCAGAGGGCTGGTTCTGTTTTTCATACTAGGGGAAGGGAAGTGGAGTGGTGGGGCTTTTAATGCCTTGGCTGTGTGCAGGAGGAGAGGAGTCACCCTGGGCAGGAACGTGGGTGGAGGCTGGGCACAGCTTTGCCTTGGGTCTTAATTTAAGGGAAGCACCCCAGTGGTCCTGCCTGAGAACGCAGAGCAGACCGTGGAGGCGGGAGGCCAATTAGATGGCATTAGACTGATTGTTGTCGCTGGCAGCTTTAGCGGCCGACTCATGCCGAAAGAGAAGGCAGAAAAAAAGGACAGAAGCCCCAGCCCCTCAGGCGTGAGTTCTTATGGAAAAGTTGCTTATCCTTCAAGTGAGAAGAAGCCTTTTATGGTTCTAGCTCTGCTCACATCTGTGGAGACTGTACCTAAAAATATATGTACGTTGCCCTCAGGCGAAGATCTTGGACTTTGAAAGAGAAAGATGCTTCCCTGCTGTCCCAAGATTGATTGAAGACCAGCTTCCATTGGTCCTCCTTCTCTTCTCTCCTTTTTCCTTCCTTCCCTGTATTAGTTTGCTGTTGCTGTATAACAAAGTGTCACAAACTTAATGGCTTAAAACAACATCTATTAACTATCTCACAACATGCATTAACTATTTCTGTGCATCAGAAGTGCAAGCATGGCTTAGCTGGGTGCCTCTGCCAGGCTGCAGTCAAGGTGTTGGTCAGGCTTGAGTCCTCATCTGGAGCTTGACTGGGGAAAGGGGTCAAGCTTACTCAGATTGTTGGCAGAATTCATTTACTTGCAGTTATAGGAGTGTGAGCCCTGATTTCTCCCTGACTGTTAGTTGGAGGCCACCCTCAGCTCCTAGAGGACCCTCTCAGCTCCTTGCCACATGGGTCTCTGAACATGGCCTCTGCCACCTCTGTTTCCCTGTCTTTAAAATGGGCACAGCCATGCCTGCTTTGTCTGATCTTGTGGCAGTCTTGGGAAATGCACAAGGTAGGTATCAGATATGAAATATGCTTGGATACCGGAAGGCGTTTCTGGATAGGACTTGGTAGCCACTGCCTAGAAAGATACGTGTAGAAAGATGAAGAGGCCTCTGAATCGATGTCAGAGTGTCACGATAGACTAGTTGTATCTGCCAGGGCCCAGCAAAGGTGAATGGTACTGTGTATTGCACATTCACTAAGCGTGGCGCTAGGGAGACGTAAGCTAGCACAGTTTCTAATCATTGCTCAGGAGGATGCGTCCCTGAATCTATTCAGATGAGATGAACCTCCCTAGACAGTGACCTTTCTGGGCCTGAACTATTGGACTGTGATTTCAGAGGCTCAAGCTAGTACCACTGATGCAGGCTGCCACTCAGGCCACCAAGTTGCTTCCTCCCCAGCCCTCCAGGAGAGGCTCCCTCTGCCCAGGGACTCGCTACTAAGTAAGGCCAGATGTCAACACATGGAACTCTACCCCTGACTGTGCCAGGCTCACACCCTCTGCTCTGGGTGTGGAGAACAGAGGCCCAGGATACGGGGAGATGAGAAGGCAGCTAAACATAGGCATCTCCTATGTGACTTCTTCCCTAGACTGTCCATCAGCCAGTTCAGAACATTTCATCTCAGAGTGTCTTATGAACACAGATCTCTTGGTTGGTGGGGGGTGGCGGGAGGGGACAGCACTCTGACCAGGATGCTAAACTATTAACCGCTATGCTCCATGTTTCCCCCACACATATGCCTATAAAAGGAAAATGTAAAAATATATATTTGTATGTGTGCGTGTTTTTAATATATACATATATGTGTGTGTGTATATATATACAGACACACATATGTGTGTTGGGGGTGGGTGTATCTCTCTTTGTTCTCCCTAAGATTTAACCAGAATTGGAGTCCTAGTGACTCCATCTTGTATTGGACAGAATTCTAGTGGTTACAGTTGCTCTTTGGCTGGAGAGCTCCTACTCATTCTTGAAAGGTCAGTTTCTCCCTGATACTTCCTAGCTCCCCCAGGCAGAGCTGGAGGGACCCTCCTCTGTCATCCTACTGACTGCTATATTGGGCCCGGGTCTCTCCAGGCCTGGGTGTGAGTCATCTTTCTTTCTAGATTCACAGCATTTAACATGGTACCTGGCGTGCAGTGATGTTCAAGAAGAGTTGAGGAGATTAGGGATGAGAATTTTATTCACTGCAACCCTTGCTTCCCTAAGCCTGGCTCGGATTGTTTCCTAAAGGTGGCCCAGATGTTTTCCCTTACCAGTATTTAGTATTCTTCTGAGCACTCCTCTAAACTGTATGTCACACCCTCCTCCTTTCCAGGATTCTGCTGCAACTCTAAGGTTTGGAAGGGACCTTTTAAAAGCCTCAACCTGATGCGTGAATTGCTTCCGTGAAAAGCAGTCAGCAGAGTCTATTAAAGTAGTCAGCAGATGGGCAACTTACTACCTCCTCAACCAGTTCTAACGACGGAGAGTTAGAATTTTTTAAAACTCTTGTTTCATTAAGTCAAAATCTGCCCCTCCTTGGTAGTGTCTCCCTACAAGTGCTAGTTCTGCCCTCCAGGGCTACAAAGAGCAAGCTAATCTGGGACAACTAGAGCATCAAAATAATTGAGGACCATTGTGGATTATAACTGTGGAATAAAATAGGAATCTACAAATCTGTATTGATAGATACATAAATAGATGATCTGTCAGTGGAGAAGAGAGAACTCAACTGTTTGGGTGAATGCTGACTGATAAATGTAGAAGAGTTGCGTGGTAAAGGTTAGTTAAGGCAAGAATCACCAATGGATGCTGAAATCTAGAGGAGAAAGTTTGATGGAGAGCAGCTATTTACGTGGTCTCACAGTGGCTCTCCACTGATGGCTTATTAGCTGCAAAGGGAACTATAGTAACCACATGGGAGAATGAGGCATCATGACCAGGTGATCAAAAGTACCTCACTGGTGAGCAGCAGCTGGGTGTCACGTGCTTCCTGACGTGGTACCTCGAAAAGAGTGCAACATCACTTAGTGTTGCATTGCAATCAGGGATGGAAAACCTGAAACCCATCCTGAGGAATCTCGGACAAACCCAAATTGTGGAACATTCTGTTAAAAAAAAACTGGCCTGAATTGTTCCAAAATGTCAGTGCTGTGAAAGATATAAAAGGCTTAGAAATTGTTCCAGAGGAAAAGAGATTAAAGAGACCTGACAACTAAATGTACCGCATGATCCTGGACTGGATCCCACACAGGGGCATAAAATGCTACAAAGGACAATTTTGAGTCAGTTGACAAAATTGGAATATTGGAATTACAGTAATGTTAAATTTTCAGAATTTTAAAATTGTACCATGAAATAATATCCTTGTCCTTTGGAAATACACAATAAGAGTGAGGGACATGATCTATGTAGCCTACACTAAATTGATTCAGAATTTTTAAACAAGTGTACCTATAGAGAGAAAGAGGGAGGGAGCGAGAGAGGGAGAAAATGAGAATGGATGATGCTATACGGGAATTCTCTGTACTGTTCCTGTAACTTTTCTGTAGGTTTGAAGTTACTTCAAAATAGTTCAAAAGAGCACATCTAAATGAAGGTCCATCAAAACCTGCAGTCAGGGAGATTGTCCTTTGAAGGGACAACCTGTTCCTAGGCCTGGGAGGGAGGAATGTTGTGCCTAATGATTAAGGATCCGTGTGCTATGAGGCCAGACCCATGACTGGGGAGCTGGGGGGCTGGGTTGGGAGGGTAGGAATCAGGGAACGTTTCCTCAAGGAATTTATCTATAAGCCAAGACCTCAAATTTGGAGTTAGCTGGGTAAAGTGGTCAGGGAGGGCTTTCCTGGTGGAGGAAATAATGCATAGAAAGGCTGGAGGGTAGAGAGTCAGAGGCTCAACAAGGCAAAATAAGGCCAGGCTACCAGGTACAGGGCAGTGAATTCTGGGCTTTAACCTAAAGAACAAAGGCCAGTGATCGAAGAGTCGGTTTTCAGCTTGGGAATCTTACTCCCTCCTCTACTATTTCTAATGATGGAGAGTTGGAATCCTTTAAAAGCTAAGATGTGTAACATGAAGGAAAACCTTAGATGCTTTTCACAGACATTGCTCCTACCTAAGTCTCCATCTAGCCCAGATGGGCCCTAGGGTCTAGCCATCTCTTCATCCATCCATCCTAGGGCTGGTCTTACCAGATAGTGGCATATCTTGGGGCCCACAATTTTCCGTCATTGCCTTCTGCCCATTAGGCAGATAATAGACCTTTTGCTGCTGCCTCTTAGCGCCCTTGCTTTAGTGGCTGAGGGTTGGGTGTCTGTGTTCAGCCTCTTATTAGTATGATAATCTTCTTGAGTCATGAGCTGCCCGAAGCCGGCAGTTGCCTGCCAGTCCATCACGGTGCCATGTCCGTGAGTTATTAGAAAGGTTTGCGAGGCCAGGATAAACAGCATGAATCAAGAGGGAGAGACAGGCCTCCCCCCTCCTGCCTACATTGCTGTCACGCAGGGAGGATGCCAGAAGGGGTTGGAGTGAGCGAAGGAGAGAAGGGGCGGGAGACAGGGAGGAAAGAGGAGAGAGAGAGGGAGGGAAACAGGATAAACAAAGGAGGCTTGGAGAGAAGGAGGAAGCCAAGACAGAGAGGGGATGAGAGCAGCTCACTTTCCACCACCATTTGGGCTGCCCCTGAGCACAACCAGGAAATTCAGGCAACACGCAGGACCCTACCTTCTTTCTGTTGATGACCTGCTACCATGGCGTGGCCTTGGGTAAGTCATCTGCCTTTCAGTGAGGGCAGCCAATTTTGCTAGACGTTGGCAGGGCTGCCAGCTGCCCTGCACATGCCTAGATACCATGCATAGATGCTTGGGCTGTTGAAATGCTTGGAACCCTTCCGAGGAGGTCTTTTGAGAAGTGATGAGCTTGATCCCATTCTTCTCAAAGTGCACTGATGCTTTCCAGTTACTAAGTTGTCACCTTGTGTGCAGACAGGTCACCACATTAGAGATTTTGCTGGAATGAATAAATTACCATTGGCACTTGAGGATGCCGGTTTTAATCACAGTTGAAGACTTCGGGGGACAAATGCCTTTGCTTCTCTGGTTATCTTCTCTGGGGCTGTAGCCAAAGACCCCCTACCCCGAGTTAATAAATTCAGCTCTGAGGACCAAGCTCTTCTTCCTTCTAACCAGCAGAATCGGAGCTGCTATTATTGCTCTAAGTATTTATGACAACCACAGAAATTCTTGAGAATTTAAATTGAAGGAGAAGTATTTAAATTACATGAAATTGGAAACTAGGAGGTCCAGACTTTTTTGCATTTTTATTAAACATTTATTTTGAGTTGGGGCTGAGTCATTTGATCTCTTCCCATGTTTTCTTTAGAGGGTCATGAATAGGCTTCACCCCATTGGTTTATTTTGAATGTTGTAAGATGGCAGCATTAGGCTTATAGGAGCCTAATGAATTCAAGGAGCACCTGACTGTGGTTTAGGTGACAGACCATGAAAAGGAATTAGAGGGATAATTAGACCAAATCCCTTGGTTTGTTTATCCAGAAGGTATATAAATAATCTTTAAAATGACTTCTCAGGATCATAGTTATCCATCCTTCACTTTAATGAGCACTAATGAACTGGGTGTTGATCAGAATCCAGTGCCGTATGACTTTGGCCGTCATGAGTATCCAACTGGAAGATACCTTGAGTGGCCTTGATTCTCAAAAGCCGTATCGGTGTTGTGTATCAAAACCCAAGGTCAGAGTGCAAGCCTGCCGTAATTTCCCATGTATGAAGGAGTGCCATTTGTCAAGGATCTTTCTTTCTTTCCACCTTCAGTACATACATTGATATATATAAGTGAAAGAGCAGCTGCCTCAAAATAGACAGTAAAACTTTGATTCATTGGAATGTTCAGAATACTCCTTAGTTCCCCTCAACAAATACATATTGAGTGGCTACTGTGTGTCAGGCACGGTGCTAAGCTCTAGGGTTATAGTAGAAAACCAAGCAAATGAAAATCCTTGTTTTTGTGGAGTTTACATGCTAGTGACACATTCTGGCTAATTGTATTTTCTGGTGAACTGAAGAACAAACATCCATGAGTTATCCCATTCATTGGGCATCCTTTACGAGCTTTTTAAAGGCTTTATGGCACCTCTTTTGGGAGTAGGGAAAAGCAGGTGGAGGAAGCTTCCTAAAATGCCTATCCCAGTGTTCTTAAGAGCTGAGAAAACTCAGTTGGCTCTCTGAAGACCGAGGTCTTCCCAGGTGGGTCATAAGCCTGAATATCTATTACTTTGGGCCAGTTCTAAAGACGGTGTAGATCAGGCTGAATGTATACTAACCAGGCTGTCTCTAGTAATTAGATTTTTAAATAATTTCCTGCCACTAGCTTGCTTTCTTATTTTTTACTTCTTAAGATAGAAACACTAGAGGAAAAAAACCCAATTGAGGTAGCGGTGAGCTATATTTAGTTTCAGGTGTTCTAAAACCTTAATGTCCTGGGACACTTTGAGTCTGTTATCCTTTTCAGACACTTTTCAATGTCTTTTCTCTTCATGGAAGTTTTACGTGTCATAGTCATTAAAATCTGATGTGATATATATATATATATTTTTTTTTTAATGCAATTTTGCAAACACTTGTCGAGCCCTAAGGATACAAGTGTGAAAAACAAAATCTACATGTCTGCGTAGCTGGGGGAGACAAGAAAAGGAGTTACACATTAGGTGTTACTTAAAAGCAAAGTAGAGGCAAGTCCAGGGTGCTGGGAGAGCAAAGAGACCTAGTGGGACTTACCCTTCTAGGGGAGGGGGCATGCAGTAAAGGGACATGGGATTGGGGAGGAATCTCATAAAGGCTTCACAGAGGAGGCAAGTCCGTAATTCTTTACTGTGAACTCCTCGCTGAGTTTGTGGGCTTAACTCAGATGGAGACATCAAAAAAGGGAAATTTTATTTTATATATTTTTGCATAGATGATAAGAATATATATTATTGGATTAATGATCTCTACCACACATAGAACACTCGCTGTGCTAGGCGCTGCACTGAGCAGTTTACTGGCATCATGTAATCTTCTCACAGCTCCTCCCGTGAAGTAGGTAGTATTAGCTCCATTTTATAGATGAGGAAACTGTGGCCCAGAGAGGTTGTGTTACATGGCTAAGATCACACAGCTGAGAAGCTATAAAGCTGAGCTTCAAACTGGGGTATCTTCGCCTCCAAGCCACTACACGTACTGCCTTTCTTGTAGCACTGTAGTTGCAAACTCAGATGTCTTGGGCTGTGTCTTGCAAGGATTCCTCCATACTTAGGATGAAATACATTCACCATGGGAAGCTGGGCCTTTCTTCCCTGTTATTTATTTGATTTCCAGCTTATTCAGTACAGCCTCTTTCTATCACTTCCCTAAGTAGGTAGGTAGGTACTCTTTTGACTTCAGTAGTGTGTGTTCTAGATCTAATCTGGACTTACTGTATGAGCATGGATGTGCCATTTTTAAAGTCTCACTCTCTTGTTCTTCCATTGGCCACCACTTCGGGAATAGAATCAAGACAAACAAAAGCAATCTTAGCATTTCTGGCTAAAGATGGGGTGAGATGCTGTCATCTATGGCTTTTGTCCCCAGGAGCTGTGTTGTGGCTGGATGGATCCACTCTGAAGCACCCTATCTTTTGTGGGCAAGTTGCAGTTGCCTTTTTAAGAGCCTAAAGCACAGTCACAGCTCAGGCCGTTTCCCAGTCTCCAGACATTTCCACCATGCCCCATCACTCCAAGACTGTCATCAATGCAGTTGTCTCTGCCTTAGATGACAGCGACCTTGCCCCAGCTGTCCCTGGAGGGCGGCAGCTCGATGAGTAAGTCCTGAAGCTTGCTAGATGCGTCTCAGTATTTCACATGCCTGTGTTGGTTGGACAAACCCCAGTATGGGCCTTAGGATTTTCTTGGCCTCAGGGGTCCTGAACATCACTGCTCAAAGTGTCTGTGATGATTATTTATTTTTCTGACTTGTGTTTCTTTTTTCAGCAAATGAGAAGATTGAAGACATCAATGGCTGTCCAAAGAACAGATCGCAAATGGTAAGTGGTACACGGGCAGTGAGTGTTTATGTTATGTTAGTAAGCCCTGCCTCTAAATGATATTGACCATCTTGAAAACATTCACACCACAAGCTTTACTCTGGGAGATTATATTAATAAACTAACAGCCATTTCCAAATAGCCATGGTTTGCTTGTCTGACATTTGTTGGCATCTATTCGAAGATGGCTGTGATTTTTACGTAGGTCGTGAGACAGCGAAAATGGTCCTTGCTCTTAGAAACAAGTTACGCAGAACTGCTGCAAACATACCCTTGTTTAGAACTTGCGCTGATATGACTCTTGCTTTTTCCTCAAAGACCCACAACAATTTCTCTTTGTGTATGGTGCTGGGGCACAAATGGAGTGATGGTATCATAACAACCATCAGAGATTGGGACGTGTGGTCTGATTGCCTTTAAAGGTTAGAATGATGTGAAATCACAACTGTGACAGGAAATGTGAAATGTCCAATCACATCCAGACCGTTCACAACGTAACCTTGACAAGTGACATTCTCTCTGGCGTGATATGCTTAAGCTCTGATATTATAACTTTAAAAAATCTTTAAAAATCTATTCTGTTCTTGTTGCATGTCCTGCACATAATCTTTGAATGAAAATTCATGATCACTGTTGAGTTCAGGGAGCATTGAATTGTGACACAATCTGAGCGCTTAGTTTTTCCCTTAGAAATGCTTTTCAAATATGAATTTTTCCACAAAGATTGTATATTATCAGACTCTGTTAAGATGACGCTAATACCTGTTTAAAATATGAAGGTGGCAACTGAAGGACAACCTTTTCTCCTAGACGTTAATTTGCTTCCAGAAATCTAAAAAAAAAGCATAATTTGTTTTCTAACCTCACCCTCCTCCCTTTGAGTAGACACAATTGGATAGTGTCATTCCAGAACACACTGAAGTGATTGGCCTTCCTTGGATTTACTGTTTAATTTTCTGAATTGTTTGTTATCCCAGTGAGTGGACAAGATAGCCTTTTCGTCAACTTTTTATCTAGACACGCAAAGTTTCTTATTATAAAGAGGAGTGAGTGTGCCTGGTGGGGGCAGGGGATGTCATTTTTCACGTTAAATTCTGAAACGAGTTTCTCTTTTGTTGTTGTTCCGCTGGAGATTTTGTTTCTTTCTGTTTGATCCAGAGAGCAGCCCGTCCTCACATAGGAAAGTCCCCATGCAGACGTCTCATGGCTGCTTTGACTTTTGGAAAAGCTTGGCTGCTATTTTTGCCAGAGCTACTACAGCTGTCTGGTGTATTAATAATTGAGAAAATTTGGAAGATAGAAGACTTAATTTTAGTGCAAGCATTTTACACATGCAGTCATAGCTTCTCATGAAAGAGATGTAGTATTTCCGCCTGGGATAGAGATGGATGCGTTTGTCCCAGCGCATTATAATGCATATGTACAACTGACAGCTTAAGGTAGTGAACCTTTTATTCTGTTTGGTGCATTTGTATTTTCTGTACCTTCTGTTGGAGATGTTTGCTGTTAAAGTCCACTTTCAAGCTTACAAAATAATACCGTCACCTCAGATTCTTCCGTGCCAATTTAGTTTATGTAAATATGTTATGTATAATGCTACATAGCACCAACGCAATTTTGTGGTTTCTCTGTAACTCTTTCAGCTATGGAAGTATTGGGTTTTTCTTCATGCACTGTGTTTTTTTTCTTTCTTTTTTTTTTTAAGAACACAGGAATATAAAATCCTAAAATCGTCTGTGGTAATTAGGTCCAGCTCAGGGGCGGGGGGGTTGGGTGGGCAGACAAGGTCTGGTGGTAAAAGTGGCAGAGAATAATTCAGCAGACAGGATGTGAGTCCAGGAAAAGGTCAAAACCTCCACCACAGTCATTCCATTCTGTAGGAAATGAGAAAGGCGATGATAAGGAGCTCGGGGCCATTGTCCTTTCACCTACATCACAAAGCAGTGACAAATCCATAACGCAGAGCTCACCTAGGGCACACAGGAAGTGCTGCTTACACACAAGCACAGGTGGTGTTCTGGCTAATAGGACACCTGTGTGTATGTGTGTGTGAGCACGTACAGAGTTAAAGCATCCCTACTCATGGGAAGTATCATTTGGGAAGATGGCATAGCAGATGAGCTACCATTTCTAGATTCCTAGAAGGTTAAACTCCCAATTAGGCTTTATTTAGGGCAGCCAATGATAAAGATTTGTTGTTGTTTGCTAAATGTTGCCTGTTTGGAGGAGACCAGAAGGGAACATGCACGGAGAGCATCATGTTGGCAAAAGGAAGATGACACACAACGAGAGAATTGGAGAGTGTACCTGCTGGGAGGGTAGCTATGACTCCACTGAAAATCATCAGCATAGAGTTACTGTGCTCACAGAAACAGAGCATCTTCAGAGGCCTTAAATAACGGAGACAAAGAAAAACAATTTTTGCTTCAGAGCAGGGGAATGGGTGCTATTTCAGTTTCCAAGGGGCAAATTATTTCATTAGCTAATCGGTGGGTAGGCACGAGAGCTTTAGTTTTACAGGTGGGGTGCCTCTTCCTCCTCTCGTATCTCCCTCCTCCTGACCTACCAGGCTGCCCGGAGCTCTGCTCTCCAACTCCTGAGCTCCAGGCTCTGCCTCCATTTCTGCTCTCTTCCCAGAGGATGTGGAAGTGAAAGCAGACACCTGTGGCATATGGACTAGAGAATTCCAGAGGCCTTGATGCACAAACATTATGGGCATGGCACTGTATACTTTTAGCTTGTCGATCAGCACACGGTCACAGAGTGCCGACTAATGCCAGGCACTGGACTAGACCAGGTTAGTACCCCAGTGAACAAGATGGGGCCCCTGCCCTCAGGGAGCTCAGTGATGAGTGGGCAGGAGACCAGAGGACAATTAGAACACTGGAATAGTGCAACTGCTCCCATAGACATCTGTGCATGGCACAGTGGGGGCCATTCCACTCCAGGACAAGGGGAGGCTTAGGAGTAACTTTTAGGGGTTGAGTCTTGAAAGGCAAGAGGGTTCACCACGGGGAATGATGAGTGGAAGACAATTCCCATTGCTGGAGATTCTGTTTACCTGAGGATATCCCGGACCCTGCAGAGGAAGGTTTTGCAACCTTTGTTCATGGATCCTACCGTGTGCCATCAGCTGTGTCTGGTGAGACTCTTCTGGCCTCTCCTCAGTGTCAACCCTTCGTCCTGTTGTATCCGAGGTGAGGAATAGGGCATGGAAGAGACCAGAGTGCGACAGACCCCAGAAGCATGGTGGTCTTTTCAGACCTGGGCCAAGTCTTCTGTAGTCATCGTCACCCCCCAGGTGGCAGCGCCTCAGGGAACAGCCCCACTGGACCCTGGAGTGAAGTTTTCTAAAGGAAAATACCCGTGGCGATCAACTCCTGTGGATGAAAGTTGAACCATGGGATGTGAGAAATGGTGGTTAATATTGTTAATATCAGCACTCACAGGCCTCCACGCAGTGCTTTAAGGCCGTTCACTCTCATGGGCACACTCGACCCTCCCGACCCTGCTGTAGGCCAGCGTATCAAGAGACACTGGTGCCGGCAGCTGGAGGGCTGTCCGCAGGGAGAGGCAGAGCCAGGACCTTTGGCATCTCCTGTGATCCTCTCGTGGGCCTCGTAAAACAGGACTGTGCCTGCAGCCGATATGCAGAAGCATGGCCGTGGCTTCCCCTTCCCGAGCAAGCCTGGCCTCAGCTTGTGCTGAAGGAGTCCTTTGCTCTCTTTCAGTCTGACATAGATGCTTTGGGGGCCAAATCCTCGGAGATGGAGCTGTAGAAACAACATTCCCCCCACCTCCTCACCCCCCCAGTCCATCCATTTGGCCCTTAAATAGGTTTGTGTATGTGCGTCAGAGCTGGTTAAAATGTTTCGTCTGTTTAGCATTGCCAGGGCAACCCGTGGGGCATCCTTTTGGCTTTCGAGTGGGGTGTTCAGCAGGGTTACGTGTGTGTTTGGAAGGAGAAACATTGCTTGGAGCACAGCCAGTGGACGCTGGGGCTGCCACTGCCTTGCGCCTTGAACCCGCTGTACTCCAAGACGCTGGCTCACTTTGGAGCCTAGGAAAGGAGCAGCAGGGGGTGGTTTTCTTTTTTCATCCTTACTATTTTAAGTGGTTTGGCTTTGCGTTGTCGATTAGAAGAGGTGCAAAGTTAGGAAGGCTGCCTGTCCTTTCAGGCGCTTTCAGTGGAAAGCCCTGGCCTGTTTTCTGCTCTGGCCCGGGGTCATCTGGGGCCTCTCAGTGCTTCTCACCTGCCTGCCCACCTCCTCCTGGGCCCTCAGGGAGTCCTGCCTACTTCCCTCAACCCTTCTAGACCGAGGGCCTGCCTGGGCTTGGGAATCAGACATCGAGTTCCTTCTCTGCTCTTCTGTGGCCTTGAGCTAATTATTTAACCTCTCGAAGCCTCTGTTTCCTGTTCTATAAAGTGGGGTTGATAATAATACGAACCTCATCAAGTTTTTGTGAGGACTAATGAGGCAGTCAAAGTGATAACGACGGATGACAGTAATGATGATGAAAATAAGCCATAAAGCCAAACAGTGTTTGCTGTGTGCCAGGTGCCGTCCTAAGTGCTTCACAAATAACCTCTTAGTTCATCCTCCCAACAGCCCTTTGCGGTAGGTGACCTCATCACCCCCCTTCTCCATAGCACATGGTCAGCACTCAGTCAGCGGTGGTTTCTCCCATGATGATGATTTGTTTTAGTAGCCATTCAGGTACTGGGGGACATGGAACCCTTGGGAAATCTGAGAAGAGCTCCTGGCCCCCTCCTCCCCGGATCACACATACCCCGGAACTTTGCATACGGCCTGAGCAGCTCACGGATCCCAAAGTCCTCTGGGGCTCCACAGACCCGCACATTCGACGTGCCTGCTGCTTAGGGCGCTGGTCTGCTCGTCACCCTGTCCTTTCAGAGGCCCCTGTGGGAAAAGCCAGCAGCTAGGCTCCCAAAACAAGAGGAATTGGCTCTTAGACACAGAAGGACAGGACACTGGTTT